AATCTTTCACTTTGGTATCTGATGTGATCTGATCTTCACGTGGCTGGAGAGAGTGACATCTAGGAATTCATGAACAATTCATTCGCGTGTGTTTATTGCCTCTTTTCCACGTCAACATCCTTCTTACGTCTTTGGTTATTGTTGTTGTTTGGTTTGGTTTATTTTATTTATTTTTATTTTTTTAATTGTTCCATTCCCGTGCCTAAGCAACTTCCACTTAAGGCACACTGACCAAGACACACTGACCACAATTCACAACACACAACACACACCACACACAAGACACAACACACAAAACTCAAACAACACAAATGACACCACAGTACGACACCCCATATCACAGCACATTATACCACGTTATAAAACACGGTGCCACACACCACACAACACAATACCACATAACACACAACACACTCCACAATACAACACAACACACTCCACAAAACACAACACATACCACACAACACACAACACACACCACACACCACACAACACACCACCAAAACACACACCACACTCCACAAAACACAATACACAACACACCACCAATACACACACCACACTCCACAATACACACCACACAACACACCACCAATACACACACCACACTCTACCACACTCCACGAACTGTGTGTTTTCACCGACTGACAGACTGATATTTTCAATGTTTCTGCCCCCAATCGTTGGTCGTCTGCTTCGCTCAGATTGTTTTGTGTAAACGTATCCAGCTGTTGTTGCTGGTGGTGGCTGGAGTCTCGGAGGTCACGGTGGAATGATGGACTCTACTAAGATAACAGTGGAATGTCAAATGTGCAATGATCATGACATGTCAAATGTGTAATGATCATGATGTGTCTGTACCAGTTCGTGATTTCTTTGGAATTGCTGCGTCTGTTTCTGTTTCCTTTGAGATGTCTGAGGTCTGTAAGAGTAGTGTGGGTAACTCGTGTGTTTGGAAGAAGGATAAAAACCCCTCAGGTTCTTGAGTCTCAAACAGAACACACGAGGGAATCTTTGCTGGACGTTTTACTTCCTGGCATACACGACAACTAATGTTAATGATAATGATAACAAGAATAAGAATAAGAACA